GCAGCTTGACATTGACATTTACTAATGAAATTGCAGTTGTATTATTAGATAAATTCATTTTTTATTCATCTAGAAATAAATTTACAGTTATCATCACTGAGAAAGCTGAGACGAAAGACGAAAGATAACATTTACCATAAATACTGTTTTCTAGCCACAGCGCTTCCAGGGTCAGCGCATTATTCTCCAGAAGTCTCCTGACTTTGCAGCATCAAATGATCTCAACATGCCAAAAACGGGAAGGTCAGTGTCGGTAAAAAGATCCTTTTCCAAGGCCTCACGTGAATTAGGCTCATCATGGAAAACTGTTGTCATGACGATCTTTTGGACACCTGGACCGCAAATCAGATCGTAGCTTCTGAGAAGACTGAGCCCCTCCTCCACAGGACGGTAATGTCAAGACATTACTTTGGCCTCTGAACAACAACGATAAGATGAGTAATGAAGGGATTTATTTCCTTCTTCCTCCACAAATGACCAGCAACGAAATTACTACAGTAATACGCACGGCCAAAGATTATTGATGAATGTTTTGCTGCATGTGAGCCATAAAGATAAGTTAATGACTCCACAAGATTACAGTAAACTATAAAGTAGACCCTTGTGTGATTGTAAAGCAATATACTTGGTGTTTTACTTGGTGTTTACCTGCTTTGTTTTTCATTTCATTTTGACCTCAGTCATTTTACTTCATTTTGTTGAGGTCATGACCTACATACTTCTCAGCTTGAGTTTGTAACTCATAATGTTTTGTTTGAATGTAAATTGAAAATGCTTTATTTTGATCTTTTTTTCATCAAATTGGTATTATATAAACATCAAACAGATGTTAATTTTAAAGCTATATTGCGTATTCACTGGATTGAGAATATTTGTTTTTCTTTACTAATTTAGTTTGTATGTTATGATCAATGGGCGTTTGCTGTTATATTTTGATTACTTTTAAGTCCTGAATTATTGTATAAATGGTCTTGCCGTACTCATTTCATTTCATTATTGCTAGAAAGGTGAGAACAAACTGAACAAATTCAATGTGTTTCTTCAAACAGGCTCGTCCAAACATCTTAAATTACAATCCAAGTTTATGGCCGAGCTATGCTCAAACAACTTGAACTGCAGTTGTTCCCCTCAAGCCAGATATGAACCTGGAACGACTGGAAGGCAGCAAAATCTGACTGGTTGAAATGTTCTTTACTGGTTTCTTCTGTTTTCCATTTCCTGCTCTTTCTACAGTTCACTTGCAGAACATTAACATTTTGTTTTACTCGATTCAGTTTATTTACATGGCATCGATTCATAATAAATGTCAGCACACAGAACAGGTTGCAATTACAAAATTTTGGGAAATGTCTACACATTGCGATACCTCAAAATTTTAGAATTTGATCTCTGTAGAAAATGTATTGATCGAGGTCTAGAGATCACCTTGCAGGATCATCATGAAGCTAAATGAGTGGATTAAATCAAAGACGGACACAGCTTCCGATGAAGCCACACTCAACATGATCAGAGACCTGGACTGATCCCTTCCAAAATAAGCTTTGGTCTCAATGAAAAGAATTACAGCCTCTGTGTGAAACGTCAGGATGAAGTTTCTTGGATTTCCTGTGATGTATTGCTGAACCTTGGGGATTGGAGGGAGGAAGGGTCTGTGCACCAGCCTTTTCTGTTTGTGTTTTTACTTTATGTGTTGTAATATTCAGAAAATGGCAAAAAAAAAAAAAAAAAAAAAAAAAACTTAATAATAAAAGTACTGCTTTTACAAAAGCTTAATTGACTGTTTTAATATGCTACAAGTTCCCATTTTAAATCCCTAAGCCCCGAAAAACGTTGTTAATGTGCTCAGAGTAATTTATGATGTTATAAAATGGAAATATTTCAAGTCCACCAGGTGGAAGTAACATCTTTTCATTTAATTTTTTATTATTTTATTATAAATTATTTTATTATTATTTGCATCAGTCTTTATGAGCTTGGTTTGTCAGCAGACAAGACAGCAGCTTTTGGAAACAAAGAAGAACTTTTGAGCAGTTTAGTGTATTAAACACCCTGAACGCCATCTTCTTGGTGAAACATAGTGCTGGAACTATGTGGGAAGCTGGTTGGAGGTGATGATGGGAAAATTTGGGAAGATTTCACCTTCACCTTCAGGACAACAGGACAACAGCCCCAAACATCCAGCTGCAATAAATCAAGAGAGGATTAAAAGTCCAGATCTAACTTTGATTGAGAAGCTTTGGCAAGACTGTAGAACTGATGTAGAACTGAATGAACAGAATATTTGGCTCCAAAGGACTCACATATTATTCGTAAAAATCTTGAAATCCAAGACTTCTTGTCAGATCCCAAATTTCACTACTTTGCATCAGTCGATCTAAACTCTAACCAACCGATCGAGAACTGGTACTGATGTCACTAGAAATGGTTCTGATGACATCAGTACCGCCTGCAATTTCATTGGGATCAAATGATCCCAATGAAAACCTTTTGGATTGTTATGTGAAAATGTGAAAAAGTTTGTGGTGCTCTTTGCGTTCCACACGTTTCAGATCAATGTGCCAACGCTGCAGGGCTCAGCGCAAACACAAATGGAACATTGTGTTTCTTATTTTCCTGGACAGAGCACACACTTCCCCCTTTCTGCCCTGAAACTGTCATCTTTCTGTCAGTTCAAGTTAGGAGACGTTTAGTGCTTTGGTCCGGCCCGGTTCGGCCCGGATAGATAACGCTTCGCTTCAGAAACTCACCTACTTAAACTTTGATGTTTTATTGTCACACCTTCCAGGAAGTGGAATAAGAGTGCTTATCGTTTAGTCACATTTTACGTCCTTCCACAACAAGCGGCCAATAAATGACTGGCTGAGGTGATATTTGTGTTCGGGTTACTAAATAACCAGGCCGGTTAGGCAGCTGGTGCTGAACGAACATGAATTAGTCATTATAATTAAAACATAAAAGACAAACACATTTATTTGATAACCTGGCTGTGGTGCTGCTTCCAAAATACTTACTAATCATTCCACTAACTACAGAACTGAGAGTCTGTTCTGTAGTTGCTGTCACCTGTTAGCTTATCTCTGCTGATTCTCATCTATGAAACGGCTCATACAAAGCACAGCAGCAGCATGACACAGTATTTCTGTGTCTTCTGTATCAACACCATGGCTGCTCTGCCAGCCTGAATGTAATCCATTTAATCTACAGGCCCCAGCAGGGCCGGCCCCAGGTTTTATGGGGCTCAGGGCAGAATTTGGGTTGGTGCCTAGTTCATGTAAAGCCCATCAGTAATCTAACACAATTTAGTGTTGGACAATAAATCAACAATATATTGCAATAAACATGTGATCAGTACCGCACAGAATTCTGGGAGATGGAGGCATTATCCACTCAACCTCTCACCGCTAGCTAAACTAGGTTGATAGCAACAACTTGCAGCAGTTTCATGTTTCACCATCGTGATTCATAAGTGCTTAAAAATTAAGAAACAAAAGACTGGAGAGGAAAGGTCACTTTAATGCAAAAAACTAATCAATAATTATCATTTATTGATTTTCAGCCAGATCAAAAGTTTCACTGTGAAGTCATGACAGAAACAGTAAGTTAGATCAAACAGTCTCTGTTGGACCTGGTTACCTACAGAATATCATGGATAAATTCTGCTCTGTTTGGTCATAAAATTACATTTATAAATCACTTCTGAGCTCACAGCGTGTTTTACAGTTTGTTTTTTTATTTAGTCAGGCAAATTGCTGCTTCAAATCTGTTTTCATGTGTTCTGTGAAGCAAAAGGTTTGAGCTGTAATTCAGAAAAGCAACATTTGGTTACAATAAAGCAAAGAAGTTTCTAAAAACTGCCAGGAAACAAACACCAAACCATGGAAACTCTTTTGATCGACAAATTTCATATCACCACAATAATAATCTCAATACAGAGGAAACACACACCCCACACACACCCACACACACACACACACACACACACACACACACACACACACACGCACACACACGCACACACACGCACACACACACACACACACACACACACACACACACACACACACACACACACACACACACACTCATTTCCGTCATGCTGTTTGTCAGGATTCAAAAACCCAACAGATCAAGGAATAAAATCAATAGTTTCTGGTTTATGCTAGTTGGTGGCAGTGGTCTGATCTCATGGGGCTTTCATGTGAATCTTGTGATCTTTTGTTTTTGAGTGCCACCCACATTACAGACCTTAACTTTTTATTTACCAGCAGGCGGTTATAAAAAGAAGAAGAAATCATTCTTTAAAGAGATTTATCATCATTAAAAGCATTCAGTTTAGTCGCAGGTTGGCCCTTTTGCAAATGAAGTTAGTGTTCACATTATTTTTAGACTGGTGCCTAAACATTTAAGATTTACTCTAAAATTAATTCATTGAATTTATTTTGAAATGTGTGAAAACCTGCTACTGCATCATGAGCTGATTGGCTCCGTCCTTGCACCTCCTGTGATGTCATCAGCTCAAAGAAAAACAAAGAGGAATTAGCTTCTATTTTTAACATGCCACTTTTTAAAACTTTTGTAGTTTCTGAAATTCCATTGTGTAAATCCATATTTGTAACCCATCCCTTTTTTATTGATAGTCTACATTTTATGGTGATATAAAATATCCATCACTGGCTCCAATAAAAGTTTGACTTTCATTGGAGCCACATTCTGAGAACCTGGTGAGTTTGGGTGTGTGAATGGTACCATTGGTTCTGATCTGGTTCTGTACAAAATAAATGCAGCTGACACCTGAAGGATTTCTGTTTTTGAGTATGGACATACTCCAGTATGGATGAAGGGTGGAACTATAACAGTATAAACATGGGAGGAGTGTTTAGTGGAGGGAAATCAGTCCTGACTCCTCTTCCTCCTCCTCCACTGCAGGCGCCACCCCAAGGCCAAGTCTTTCATTTGCATAGAGGGCTAAAAAGGGAGTTGACAGAACAGGGCAGGTGGTAACGGCCAACAGACTGAGGAAGAAGGAGGATCAGCCTCTAGCACTAAACGCCTGCTGTCTCGCTCAGACAAAACCGCAGAACATCACACCAGAAGGAGCAACCAGAGCAGGACGACAACTGCAACTGCAGAGGTTTCTGAATCCAGCCCATGAACTCTTTCCATGTGGAGAGGAAAGAGGAAAGCTGAGCCAGGCTGGGTGACAGGTCAACAGGGGATCTTCATCCTCTAACAGGTAAATTGAACTTCTGCAGATCTAAATTTTCACAAGGAAACACTCCTTAAGCTGAATGTGACCTGACCTTAAGGAGTGTTGACATGTTAACATGCAATGATTTAGTTTGTTTTTAAGCACCTCATCAACACTTTGCTGAGAGTTCTTGTCCTTTATCAGACAGAATGAACTGTCTGAATGAACTCATAGCAGACTCATGGTCTGCATTGTCTTTCATGTTTACACTCGCTTCCATCTGCTTCTGCCACAGCATATTCAGCTCTCTGTATCTGAACGAACCCCTCACTCTGAAGACGTCAGGTGGATCAGGTTTCATTTGCTGTGCAAACTGAGAACAGGTAGTGCTGCATCGAGCATGACAGTTGGATTTACAGGATATACAGAAACAGGCAGTTGCAATGAACACAAAGAAGCTGCAGAAGTCTGAATGAGGCTTGCAAAAAAAAAAACCAAACAAACAAAAAACAACCTTGGTGAGCTGGGATTGGTTTTCAGACAGGTCAGTGGGACAAGGAACAGAGACAACAGAGCCAGCAGCAGAGACACACCCGGAGTTTGAAGTTTATGTTTTGGGTTGAGCAGAAACTCAGTTAATGTTTGACTGATGAGTTATTATCAGCCTGGAGCCATTTTTAGCAGCAACTCCAGATTCTTTTAAACAGTATAGATAGTTTTTTTTTTTTACATCAAGCTGTTTTTGTGTCAACAGACCTTCAAACCCACAGAGATCTAATCTGTTAGATCTCACTCTGTCATCGTTTTCGCTCCTTCTTTGCGAAATTTTACAGTTAATGTCAGAAATGCCTAAAATAATGCTGAGGTTCCACATATTTTTCATTCAAATTGGATATAAAGAGGTAAAATCAGAAATAGTCATTTATTATTCTTTTAACTAAATTAAATTACAATAACTAAATAAATTACAATTTGAGAACAAGTATTTTATTTTTTAAATTTATTTCATAGTTCTTTGGAAGTGGACCAAAAAAATGACCAAAACTATCATTGAGGTTCATTTCAGCTGAGACTGAGAGGTAATTCCTGATGACATTACAAAAATAAAAAAAACCATATGATTATATAAAATAATTCATTTTTTGTTCTGGCTGTTTTGGGGCTGAGCTGAGGGATGAAAGAGAAACATTAATGCAAAATGTTATTTCATATTTAATCAAATCTTGGATCAGTCTTCAGTTTTCTATAGCTTCAGTTGTTGCTGTAATTTATTTCATTCAGGTCATTTATTTCTGTTGTGTTCCTCCTCACTGACCACAAGATAAAACATTGTAAACCTTTAACAAAGTGGTGATGTGGTTACTAAGTTACTGTCAGGTCACATTGAGCTAAAGGCTAAAAGCTGAACTGTAGATTTTAATTAGAGGTTTCAATAAAGCGCTTTTAAATCTGTTTACATGTCACACAAACTATATGTCATTATTATAGAAACATCTTAGCAGCAGAAATCTGTTACTGGGTACAATATTGTGATATTGTATTATGAAAAATATACAATCTTTCATGTTAAGTTGAAGGTTCCTGAAGCTAGAAAAATTTTCTCAGTTTCAGTCCAAATCCATTTGCAGTGGCACCGACTCATTTATTCATACGGTTAATTTCATTTATTTATGAAAAATTCAATGTTATTCAGGAAACAGATTTTGCTACATTGTTTACCACAGCAAATAAGACCAGAATATAAAACTGGACTTTAGAGACTCTGATGAGACAATTACACGGTAAAATCTGTCCTAATCCCTGAGAATCACAACCAGCTTCAGGAAAACAGACGGAGAGAAACAGGAATGTCAAGGACAGATGGAGCGATTAGCTGGAGAACAAGAGGAGCCTCTGTGTCTGAGAGACCAGAGAGACCAGAGAGACAAGAGAGACCAGAGACAAGAGAGACCAGAGACCCAAGACCAGAGACAAGAGACCAGAGACAAGAGAGACAAGAGACAAGAGACAAGAGAGACCAGAGAGACCAGAGACAAGAGAGACCAGACACAAGAGAGACCAGAGACCAGAGACAAGAGAGACCAGAGACAAGAGAGACCAGACAGAGACCAGAGAGACCAAATACAAGAGAGACAAGAGACAAAAGACAGGAGAGAAGAGAGACCAGAGACAAGAGACAAGAGACAAGAGACAAGAGACTTGTCACACACAAGAGACAAGAGACCAGAGACAAGAGACCAGAGACCAGAGACCAGAGACAAGAGACCAGAGACCAGAGACAAGAGACCAGAGAGACCAGAGACAAGAGAGACAAGAGACAAAAGACAGGAGAGAAGAGAGACCAGAGACAAGAGACAAGAGACTTGTCACACACAAGAGACAAGAGACCAGAGACAAGAGACCAGAGACCAGAGACAAGAGACCAGAGACCAGAGACAAGAGACCAGAGAGACCAGAGACAAGAGAGACAAGAGACAAAAGACAGGAGAGAACAGAGACCAGGCCTGAGGGCATCGTCACAAGAACACCTGTGTTCCTGTGACTTTCACACACACACACACACACACACACACACACACACACACCCCCACACACACACACACACACACACACACACACACACACACACACCCACACACACACACACCCACACACACACACACACACACACACACACACACACACACCCCCACACACACACACACACACACACACACACACACACACACACACAGTGATGTTTGGGCTCTTCAGAACAGAGCAGTTAAGTGCAAACAGAACAGCTGCATTAAAACTCAGCTTATGAAATTTTATTAAAATACATGAAAGTTTGTGGATGGAGCTTGAAAAGGTTCATGACCTCTATGACCATCGCCCTCTGCTGGTCAAACTGTCAAACTGCTGCTGTTATTTTTCATAGGGAAAACACATCATTCGCTGCAGCGTCATTCGCTGCAGCATCATTCGCTGCAGCATCATTCGCTGCAGCGTCATTCGCTGCAGCGTCATTCGCTGCAGCATCATTCGCTGCATTCCTGCATTCGCGGGTAGAGGGTAGAGGGTTAGTTATTGTCAGATGAAGAAACATAATCCAAACCTTAATTTGAATTCCCTGCCTATGGTTTGTGGATTTACCCTAATAATCTTCAAATTATATAAAACAGAACAGATCAAATTCTAATTCCAAAAGTCCCAGAAAATGCATTTTAGAATGACTTTCTGTTAAATATAGATTAAGTACTACTTGTGTAGTGAAATATTGTTTATACTAGAACATCTGTGATTTTATTTCAAAAAATATTATTTAGTCTAAATATTTCAGAAGGCATGCAAAAGCGACCCAGTTTACAGGAAAAAAACTATTGTTCTGTAGGGTTAGGGCCAAATGATGTTATATTTAATGACGGGAAGAATTTTAAAACAAAAACAAACTCTCACATTTATAATATTATCCATTCTGCACACTTCCACTTTCGTAATATTAATCCACTCCGTCCATCCTTCTCCCAGCTCTCTGCTTCCATTCCAGTCCATCCTCTGGTCACTTCTAAAATTGGTTACTCTATTTGTCTCCTGGTTGTTCCGCCTCTTCAATCAATCTGGTTCAAATCCCTGGCCTCATTTCACCACATCATTCCAATTTTACAACTGTTTCTGTCAGAATTCAGTTTAAAATCCTGTTTTTTACATTCACAACCTGAATGATCTTGTCTGTCTGATCTCCTGCTCATGTTCCCTTCGTTCTTCCTCTTCCATCCACCTCACTGCCTCTTGTCTGTCTCAGAACCATGGAGAAAAGAGTCTTCTCTTACTGGAACGCTCTTCAGTAACATTGATTTGAAATCTGAATCTGTTGAATGTATGGCATGAAAACAACACAGAATGAAACTAACGTTTCTAGACCTGACCTAGTGAACTCTGCAAACTTTAGAACATCGAGGATCAGCATTTTCAATATTTGACAGAATAATCTGCATTCTTTACATCCAACTGAGTTGTTTTCTGTGTAGTTTGTTCTCATGGTTAACATTTTATCCTCAACACAACAGTGTTAGTTTTTTGATTTAAGGTTGAATCAAATGTCTTTTTCACCTTTTCTATTCCAGGTTAAAACGTTTTCATGACTGACACTCTTCCATGAGAGACACTGTGTCCTATGTCCTAGTTAAAGACTATGCTGTCTTTAACTAGGATGCCCACGTAGCAAATATTGGCTGACTCTGTTGCTTTTACTGTTGGTTTTTGCCTGATGACCAAGTAAATTGACAACATCATGTTTGGCCAAACATGAGTGATGTTGTCAATTTGCCTCATCCTTACTGACCTTGCAGTGCAAAATCCAATCAGCTTCATAGTATCTGTGTGTATTGAGAGGGAAAGTAAAAATAGCTCAGGGTTCAAACAGCTGTAGTTTGGACAAAATCTGCTTTGGTTGACTTGTAAGAGTTGGATTTTACATTACAACAAATCTCGCCTCTTTATTGTCTTTGCAGATAACCCAGAATTCACAGAGCGATAAAGACCAAAGTCTCAAAGAGGCGACTTTGACAACGAGAGGAATCCTGACATCTTGCAAGATGGGAGAAAACACTCCACAGATCTGGCACATGCACATTCCTGGGCAGGAAGTTCCAGGTGAGCCGCAGAAGAAGATATCGGTGTCCAGCCAGCCGGAGTGCTCCATCTGCTACAACATCTACGACAACGTCTTCAAAACACCCAAGCTGCTGGAGTGCACTCACACCTTTTGCCTGGAGTGCCTGTCCCGCCTCATGGCTGTCTCCCTGACCAATCAAGACGAGGGAGCTGGCAGCACACGCCTCTCTTGCCCCTTCTGCCGCCATCCCACTATGCTACCGGAGGACGGGCCCCCGGCCCTGGCCACTAGCCGGGAGGTTCTCTGCAAACTGCCCAGCCACCAGCAGCAGGAGGAGCCCGTGTGGCTGGAGGGGGAGAAGCTGTGCTACAAGACCTCCAGACAGGATACCCTCTCCGGGGTGCCTGACAGCCCCACGGCCTTCTGCATCTGTATTGACATCGGGGCCAGTAAGTCAGCAGATGCTCCGGTCCAGACCAGGCGCCGGAGCTCTGGTCTGATGGGCCGACTGGCAGACTGGAAGAGGATGGTGCTGTTCGTGGTGCTGATGGTGCTGCTGGTCATCGTGGTGCTGTGGCCTCTGCAGTGTGTGTTCACCACCGGAAACATGCGCTGCATGAGAAACGGACCTCACATCAGCACCACAGCAACCACCACCACCACCATTGGCCCGTCCATCAGCAGGTCCGGCCTGAAAGGATGAGCAGCTCAACTTGCAGGACTTCACCATGACACTTTCTTTTGAAGAGTTGCATTCTGGGTAATTCTGCTGCCTCTGATGCTGTAGCTGGGACCTTGACCTGACCTGCTCACCTGATACACTCAGACTTTACAGCTCCATTTCTGCCCACATTTCCGTTTTAAAATGGCTACAAGCATGCAGCTCTGCAAGGAGTACAAAAACTTTGACACAATTGCACTTTGACCCGAGCTTGTATTCTGAGATAAGAACATCTGACTGGTTCTGTTTGGTACCAACCAGGGTTCTATTCCAGGCCAAACACCTCAGCAAATTTACTCAGTCGGTGTGGAAATGGGACATGTGGATGGGATCCACATGTGCCAATGAAAAATGTGTATAATGTGACTTTTGATACATCTTTGTTTACAAAAAAACCTATTAAAAATGAAGTATTGAGCTTATCTGTGTCCACTGTTTCAAAATAGAAAAACATGTTTCAAGTGATATTTTGTAAAAAAAAAAAAAAAAAAAAAAAATCACCTAACTTTATAATTATGAAAAAAATGATCAGACTTCCTCCTCCATCGACCTTTGGCCTCTGAGAGTAAATCTTTGCCAGGAAGCTGGAGGAGGAAAGCCTGAACTCTGCGTTTTCCCAGTTTGCACTGACATTAAAGCTGAGTTGATAAGACTCAGAGGTTTTATTTAAGGTGGATCATAAATGCACAACTTCCTTAAAGACCATTTGTACTGCTGGGAAACAGTTAAACATTAAACCTGGAAACGCTTTGAAACAGCAATATTACAGATGAATATGCTTACTCTTATTTTCTCCTCAAATGTTCAATTTGAGGAGAAATCACCAAAACTAAGATTATTTTCACACTTCCATTAGTGTCACACTTCATGTGGACAATTTGTGGATTATTTAATCCATATTAATAAAACATCAGACATTCAAAGCAAACACAAGAAACAAACACACGACATGGCATACTAAAGTGTTTTATTGTTTATGATATTAAACCATTAAGAGGCAGTTTCCAACATATCACATCAGCAGTTGAAGCCAAAAGTCCCAAAAAGGCGTGTGGGCGGAGCCAGTGCAAGATGAACAGGAAACATGGAGGACAACGTCAGGGAATCCAAAAATATCACATCAACAAGTTCAAGTAAAATGTCAGAGGACCAGCTGAAGTAAAACTCGGCTTCACGACTGCAGTCCTCCACCGATTCTTACTGGATTCACTCAGCAAAACATGGCGAGAAAAATAAAACCTCCATACCAAACTGAAATCCAAGGATGAATCAAAGAAAACGAGTCTGAAGGAAAACGTGAACAACATAGTGCACAAACAAAAACACGTCCGATGGACACACAGCCTGAGAAAAAAACAGTTCACACTTTCAAGTACTAAAGTTTCACCAAATCAGACATAATGTGAGATCACACCAACGCAGAGAAACAGAGCAAAGTTACAAAACAGGAAACAGATTCCCTCACCTGTTCACAGGAAGAGAAACGCGCTTGATGCTGACATCATGAAGCAGTGCAGCATTTGAAACAGGCAGCTTTCAATCACTGAACCAGAGCTGTTAACTACAAATTAAACAGCATTTCAGTAGTTTGACCATGAAAAACCTTCAAACTTTAAAATGAGGGAAACAAAATGGCTGCAGGAGTTACATTCAAACTTTTCTACATTATAATCATTTCAGTGCAGAGCTGAGAGTATTATTATTTCCACAATGAATCACGTTCTGACCCTAACCCTGTGTTTGAGTCATTTGGCTGGACAGAAGTTCAGTTTGTATTAAAGCCCTCAGATCTGAAGTCAGAAGGGCGAAAACTTTTCCAAACGTTGGATATTTTCCTAAAGATCAGGAATGAATCCCTGAGGTCAAATCCTGAGCTATGTGTGTTGAGCTGGGGCAACTGGGAGAGGGGCACTAAGAGGCATGGGGCAGTCTTTACAATAGGTGGTGCTTTGCAACTAACAAATAATTCAAACTTTACTTTACTTTAATTAAATACTTATCCCATTCATTTTTCAAAACACGATTCTGAAATGTTTGACCTGCATTAGTCAAAATGAACATTAATAATTTAATATATTTTTCAATTGTATGTAAAAGGTCCACACATTGAGTCAGTTTCAGAAGTCAAGTGTTCTGGTTTTATTCTCGATTCAAATAATAATAAAAACAAAAACAAACATGAACCGAGTGAGCAGAGTTGCAAAATCAAACCTGAAAACATTCAGAGAAATTAAAAAATGTTTCACTGGAGCAACTGGGCAACAATCACTAGGCCTCTAAAAATGAAAAACTTTCCACTGATTTTTGGAATGAAAAAATGGAACATTTTTCATGAAACCTCATTTGTCTGTGAAAGTCATTCAATTTATTTACCTGAAGATTTGAAATGGATGTAAGGTTGAAAGTGTTATTATGTTCAAAGGTTTGCTTATGCAAATAAAGAGAGAAATGATGCAGTCCTCACCGGTACATGTTGACTGGACCGAACTTCTGAGAGCAACTGAAGATGATTTAGGGGTGTCAGAGTAAAGTGGGTTCATACTGAAGACAACAAAGTTTTCAGATTTTTCCTCTTTCAAACACTGAATGATTTTTCTTCATGCAGCTCTTTCCAAATAAAGTCCAAATAAAACTGTGATGTTTTTGGTTGAAACATAAGAAAATGTGAAGGTTGAAGGAGAAGGAGGACTTCACTCTCGCCTTGAACCGGGCCGGGTCATTTTGGATTCAGGAGGCTAAAAATATCCAACAATCTGTGGGAAAGTGCAGAGGCCTCGTCGCTCTACAGTCTACTTATCCCATACATGACGCCGCTTTACTCGGCCGGCTGGCATCAGACCTGGATTACAGTCGTCTTCTAAATTACTTTTCAGAGACAAATCTATTCTTTAATCTCAGTCAGATGGCCATCTGGGCCGCTGCAATCGGCCCGTTTCCTCGTCTCCTTTTGACAATCCCATCCTGACAGACGCTGAGCTAAAAAAGACTCATAATGTTCATTCACTCTTTTGTCAGGAAACGTGAAATGAAGCTCTGCTTTTAGAAAGACCCTAAAATAAAGTTTATACATGACCTTAAACCACAATGACACGCAACGCATCAAAGGGAAGATAATTTGTGTGTTGAGAGGAAGATGATGAAGACCAGACAAAATTCTGTTCCTCAAGTCGGAACAGAACCAGAACCAGCGCGTCCAGCAGCAGATCGTCCTCCTCAGGCACACTTCACACACACGCACACACACACACACACCCAGACACGCACGCCCACGCACACACACACACACACACACACACACCCTAACACACACACACCACAGTCTACATCTGTAAGAATCCTTCCTGAGCCTTGGGACCCTTCCATCACTCAGTGGCCGCGTTAATAAACCCCGCAGCTCGCCCCGCGAAAACAGTGCAAAGTTGAAAGTTCAAATGGCTGGAAGAGCAGCTGGGCTCTGACCTTGGCTCAGATCCCGCAGAGCAGCGTCGGGTCAGACCCGCAGTCTGATGTCACATCCAGATTAGCGAGTTAGCTTCGATTTGTAGGTCTGAGGAAGAAAAAAAGAGGAGAAACAGGAGGAGGAGAAGCTAAGGATTACAGATACGTCCTATCACAAGGCACTGGAGCTGGTTCTGACGGGACAGAGTGGAGGGTCCACTGGTCACAGGGTCAGAGGTCAGCAGCATGGCAGCAGGAGAGGAGTCGGCTCGTTGCCTTCAGGCCGAGGCCGGGGACCGTTAACGCATCACTTCCTGTCAGCCCCAAAGAGATTTTTACAGACTCTGGCCAGCAACAGCGCTGCTGAAGCTGCAAAGAGACGAGAGCAACTGGTGAGAGGACGGACGGCTAACCATCACCAGAGAAGCAACTCACCATTGCTAATCAATTGTTTAGCAATGAATCAATTGTCCTGTCGATTAATTGTCCAGTTCTGCAGATTTGAACCACTTTAACCTTTTCATACATTTAGAAATATATCAAAAGATGCAAGTGAAAAATATAATTCCCTTCTTAAATAAGAAAATAAAACATTTCATTGCGTAAAATTCAACAACACAGCATTATGTTAGTGTATGCTAGAACTGGATGCATATGCAGCAAAAAATATTTTAAACATCACCATGACTTAACAGCACAGTTAACTTCTTTTTTTTTTAATTAATAATTAGTAATAGGAGATGTTTTTTTGCTGTTTTGTTTCTTACATAATTTGAAGCTCAGTCTGCCACCTGAGGAGTTTTGTGTAGAACAAATTTAGACAAAGGTGTTTTGAATTGTTCAAATCGTTTTGTTAATATCGAGTATTAATTTTATAGTCCATGTTTAGAATAGATACAGACCTATAATCAGAGCATATGTCACTCCTCCTCTTTTTTGGAAAGAGTTTTAATTGCTTCTCTCCAAGACGGCGGAATCACTCCATGTTCCAAAGTATAATTAAATGATTTTTCTAGTAATGGTGGGAGATCTTCACTAAAAGATTTGATCCACTCGGATGGCAATCCATCACTACCTGCTGTTTTACCATTTTTTTAACCTACTAATTGCTTCTTGTATTTCTATTCTTGTGATGTAGGAAGAGAGAAATTTGTTTTGGGTTTCTCCAATTGAGGGCAAGAAGGTTTCTATCTGTCCATCTTCAGCGGAAGGAGACTAACTGTATGTCCTAAACATGTCCTCAATAGTTGCTTTGTCAGTTGACTTGTTTCACTAGCCTTTAATGTATAGATGTTTCTATCTGTTGCTTTTTCAGTTTCTTTGCCAACAGTTTTGTTCCTTTAGATCCAACTTCATGATATGATTGTCTAATAAATTTCGATTCAGCTAATTTAAACTTTAGAGCTGCACTGAAACAGCAGCTTCTCTCCTCAGTAAGGCACTTTCACAGATAAAAGTCCAGCAAAACAGTTTCCTGCTTCAATCTAAAGCACTTACCAGATGGCAGATAAGAGAGAAGCAGATCTGCAGCAGCCATTTTATCTCCTGGTGTTACTACTGAAGGATGCCTGGGGAGTTCTGAAGTTTATATTCTCGTACACGCTCGAAGAATCATCATTTGTCATTCTGGAAAACAGCACAGAGATATTTACCGTTAGCACATGCTGCTAACGCTCAACATCCGTCACGTTCCAGTTCCTGTGACACGCACACTGAAGACGACCTGGAGGACGCCATGTTGTGCTTAGACCTGGAGTTGGTCATCTGTGGATACTTGATGTTTGAATATTCTCTCTCCTTCATTTTATTCCTCTGAAAAAGAGCAAAACATCACAAAGAGGCTGCTGCACGAGGTGCTGGATGTTAAGGAGGAGAAGTGGACTTTCAGAGCACCTGCTCCTCCTCCAGCCTCTTCTGGACCGTGTCTATGTACTGCTGCACCGCCATGTAGATGAACTTGTATTGCGCCTCCGTCTGGACCATGCCGGACCTCTGCTGCCGGACCATCTGGATGGTCTTTGGGATGTCGATGTCGCAGTCCAGCCCTGAAACAGAAACATAGAAATGAACCGACATCCAGGAGGAAACTCTTGACTCATCACATTCCTTCCCACCTTGGCGGTTGATGATATCGATGAGGATGTCAATGACAATGATGGTGCCGGTTCTGCCGATGCCCGCGCTGCAGAGGCAGACAAAGTGTTTGAGATGAATAAGAAAATACTATTATAGCACTAAAATCTATTCCTTTATAATGTTTCTAAGAAATACATCTGAAACAGAGCAACCAATGAGCTATCGATGATTCTGATGATTAGTCCATAAATTGGATGAAAGAAATTGGGACATTCTGCAGATATTTCACCATCTAAGCTTAGTTTAGTTGTAGAAATACATTTAAAAGAAAAAAATCAAAACTTTTTTAACTAAAATGCAATAAATGCTGTCCTTTAGTGAACACTTCATGATCTGCAGCTATACATCAACATGTGAAAATCAATACAGAGTAAAGCTAAAATGATTGATTAACTGATTAATAAATAGACAGTAAAAGTTTAAACTTCTGACTTATTTACAAAGATTGATTTTTTTTAATCTTAAGTGGAAAATGTTTATATTTCTGGTACATGTTTGGACTAATTACTGCAAAATATTTTTTGGCGTCAGTATGATCCAGTTAATGATAAATTTAACACTAAATGATATTGACAGACAAGAACGTAACATGAATTAAGGCAGCAGTGTAGTAGAAGTAGGAAACACTGCCACCTGCAGGTGGCAGCTCGCATCACTTAACTCCAATGTTTTTGAACATTTTGGCTGAAAACTCATGCGTCACTCGTGTGACGGTGATGATTCTGTCTGACTTTCCGTTCAGACAGTCTGGAAGGACTGGTTCATGTAAATGCAGGTAGACGCTGTTTGATAAAATAATATGCACATCAGAGGGTCCATTGATGGGTCCCTGAGGAACCCCAAAGGCCACATGACAAGCCAAATCCAGACAGAGTGGTTTGTGAGTTTTCCCCAGAAGTAAGACTTTTCTCGTCACATTTTCATAAAATGATTCAGGTAGATCATTTCCCCAGCATTCAGAAGCAAGGCGCTGCTTTGGGTCACTTTGCCTCATTAAAGCAGCTTGACCTGAATGGCTGTCCGGTCAGAACAACAGAGGAATCGCTCCACTGCTGTACACACTTTCCCCAGATGACTTAAAAACATGGCTGCTGATTTCAGGAAGAAGAAACTGTACAGTTTGTTCCATTCGCTTCTGTAGATCCTCTAAAACGAAAAGGCGTGTGCTCACAGCTCCCTGCAAGCTGCTTGTGAAATTTTTGGGGGTTTTTTGTCCAGACTTTTCAGAGAGGATGAGAAACTCTGAGCTGACGATGCTCTGGGGATGTTGGCTGATTGATTCCACATTTATTCAGGGAGTCTTGTTTGAGCCGGATTGTGGAAACATTCAGCAGCAGGACAGATTCAGTAGAACCAGCTGCTTTTCACACACTGCAGCTGTGACAGTATCAGTGCCATTCACCTAAGGACAGCTGTCCCTGTATGTTCAGTCTGTAAAATGACAGTAAAAAGCAGTCATGCATGTTTTATTATGCTCCACCTGGATGGCAGTGTTTATTCAGCCAACCAGCAGGAAGTTCACTGTTTTAGAGCCAACAACTGACTTTATGCATTAAAATCACTTCAGATGTTCAGCCTCATTAATGAAGATTAGCAGAACTGACCAAGAGGAACAATTTGTCAGGTTCTCCATCATTTCAGTTTCTCCATACTTCACATTATAGTTGTACTGAAATTAAAATTTAGATATTTGACCTGAGCCCAACCCAGCCCGATATTTGGGTGGAGTTTGGGCTTCTGTGGCTCGTTTCATTGCCTGCAATACATTCAGCACAGAGAAAACCAAATGATACCGAACAATCATTTGCTATCAAATCTATAGTGTAAACTATTTACACTATTTGTTGTGAATGGAGGAGAAGATAAAAACATGGCGGTTAAAGAATTAAAGTCAGTACAGAGAAGAAGTTAATCAGAGTCCACTGTGATCCTATACGTCACACATCCCAGATGATTTGACCTTTTCTCACCCTGCAACTACAACAAGGAACAAAATGGAGCTGAAAAACATAAGAAGCCATGTCTTTCACAGTTAAGCAAGCATGTTACAACTTCTGCTTGAAAACAGGAGCAGTAAAACTGTGCATAAAGTAATCTATCGGGCTTTCTTTGTGCTCAGATCTCTAATTAAAGCTACTCAGTTGAGTTGGACACAAAGCCTGTGGACTGGGTTTTCCTTTTCAGCTCTAAATTCCAGCTTACATGAGCTCTTCCTAGTAAGGGTGCTGGTTGTACCTGCAGTGGACGACGATGGGTCCAGTATCCTTAATGGTGCTCTGTGTGCAGTTGACTTCCTCCAGGAACCAGAGGACGCCGCCGGGCTCGTTGGGGACGCCGTGGTCCGGCCAGCTCAGGTACTGGTAGTGCCAGATGTACCGCAGAGGCTCCTTCTACACAAACACAGCATGACAGGAAGTGAGGATGTTCTATTGGAACCAAAAAGCTTCAGCAGCTTTAAACGGGTCAGAACAACCTTCACTGTTCAAGGAACTCAGAGCCAGAACAACTTTACTGTCTCAATAAGGAGAAACTTGTACTTTTACCTTGACAACTGAATTGGAGAAATGAACCAAATGGATTATTTATATAGAAACCAGTAAAAAAATTAACTGTCCATTTTAGTTACTTAGCTAGTTTTATTTTTCTATTTTATGTAACCCGGATAGGAAACAAACTTGAGAAGTTAATGATAAGAAATAGTGAGGATAAGTTCATTTGTTCTATTTTTTATTTCAATTAACATTTCAAAGTTATATGTTAGCATTGTTTAAAATACGTGTACTTTGTTGGGGAATTGTCAGAGAACATGAGTACGGTCAGTGACGGTAGCACAGGTGTGTAAGGAGCGGAAAGAGAGAGAGAAGAGTTGAGCAAGAGAAGGGATAGCACAGGAGGAGCCATTGTTTTAACAAGTTTCTAGAAGTGAGTAAGACTTGTCTTCAAGAGAAGTTATGTAAGCTAACAGGACATAGTCAAGTTTCGGTTAGAAACTGTCGAACTATGTGTTAGTTTTTTTAGTTGTATACTCACTCTAAAGTTAGAGCAAAGCTAACTCAGCTGTTGCTACAATGGACTTTTGTAAGCAGCTGTGTTGCTGTGAGAGTAGCACTTAAAACGTTACAGAAGATCGTTACCGGACTGGCTAACGAAGACCCTGACTCACTTTAGTAGAGTTCAGGGCTGATCGACCAAAAATACTATAGAGAAAATAAGAGAGTATACAGAAACATAGAACCCAAACACCACTTATTTCCGAAATCGTTTAACTGAGGGCTACATTTACTTTATTTTTTGCTTTACTGTCCACATGTTCTTTGCAATATTTAAAATTAAAAAGTAAAAATTCAAATGAGCCTGCCAGCAGTGCTCATAAGTCATAATGCTGTAATTATACGTGAGGATATAACCATTGAATATTCATTTTGAAATAAAAATCATTCAAAGCTCAATTTCCACTTGAATTGGAGTTTAAATGTGTGAAATGTTTTGTTTTAGATATTATCGGTATTATAGTTATTATGCTTGCAAAAATAAACCACTAGGAAAGAAAAATTCATCTGCATTCCTGACACAAGTTGTAAGTTTGTCGTGTTTTTTCCACTTATTGCTCCATCTGCCAGTCATCCAGATGAGTCTTGAAAGCTGAAGCTCAAACTGTTGGCTTGGTAATTTGACTCCAGGTCAGAGGTCAGCCGTCCTTACCCTGTCCAGGCGTGTCACCTCCAGTTTCCTCAGGATGTAGTCCTGCGCTGGCTGCTCTTCCACATTCCTCACCAGGACTTTCCCAAACTCTTTAGTGGCGTTGAGATCCGGCCAGTACCGGACGCATTTGTTCTGATAGAAACATGAACGCAGAGAGAAAGAGAGAAAGCGAGACTGGCATTAGACAGTCTGAAGAAACGGCTCAGCTTAAGCAGCTTTTCAGGAAGCTTATCTGTCATGCTATCCCATGCTAGTCCTATCCCTGTCCACCACACTGACACATGTACATCATCCTGACACTCACACGCTAAAGCACTCGTTGCTTTCCGGTGATGACTCAAAAAAAAGGATGATATTAGATTATCACACAGCCGAAGCACTTTGAAAGTGAGAAACAGAAAGGATTCAAGATTGGCTTGTTTTTGTCAACATGTCGTTAAAACTGAAAGGCACTGATATGTGGCCTCCTGCTTTTACTTTTCTTTTTTACAAGAAAAGGCTTTCTGATCAGGATAACCTGTTCAATTCCTTGTTGGAAGGAGTGAGAACTCAGACTTTACCCAAGAAACTCAGCCAAGAAATGTGGCTGAGCTTCAGAAAAGTAAATATGGGAAGATTATAAATTTCTCCTCACCCTAAAAATCTAAAAAGCCAGAATTTTGGCTTGCAGAGAAAAACCAAGTCAAAGATGTGTGACAGAGACAGACACAGTTTGTTAACTGTTAATTGAAGAGCAGCCAAATCCATCCATCCATCCATCCATCCATCCATCCATCCATCCATCCATCCATCCATCCATCCATCCATCCATCCATCCATCCATCCATCCATCCATCCATCCATCCATCCATCCATCCATCCATCCATCCATCCATCCATCCATCCATCCATCCATCCATCCATCCATCCATCTTCTTACACCCTTGTCACTAGTGGGGTCAGAATGACATGAATCCTCATCATAAGTGGTATCAGCAGTTCAAACATCTGGGCATGTGCACAGATCAAATTCTTAACAGCACAAATTGATTCAAAACATTATGATGATGCCCTTTAAAATATAGACCCTAAGAACAACTGATGACTGCAGCTTACCTTTAATAAAGGCTCAAAATATGTACAAGAAAAACTGAAAAAAACATCTTGTCTTGTTTCTTTCATTATTTCAGAAAAAAAATATTAATTTATAGGGCCTTTCATGCGATAATTCTAATGAGATAATTTAGTAGATTTTTATGAGCTAAACATATTGGCTCAATTAAGTGTTTTTTTTTCCCCAAGCAAGTAATGTTTATTCAATGATTTAGCAGCCAAAAGGTTTTTGAATTGAAAATATTGGTTGTTATGTTTTTTGATTAAAATGAGATCAAGTACTAATCCAGTTGTTAACTTTTAATTTGGTCCCACCACGACTAATGCAGCGCCAAGCAGAACTCTAACCCTTTACCAGCCTGCCCACAACGAGACGAACTGATTCCACTCACAAACATCCTGATTCCAGAAGAAAATCTAGTAAAACCCCAACATACCTACGTGAATTTGAATAATCAAACATGGAAATAGTTTGTGGATTCATTTTAAGCAATAAAAGACGAAACAAAAAGAAAAGACGTTTGATAAAAGGGAGGAGCCGCTCTATTTGCTGCACTATGATATGGAGTTATGTTTTTTGTAGTTAAGATTTTTAACTGAATAAACATAAATACATACATAATAGTTCACTGGACTGTCAGTTGCCATGTTAGGGATTCCCCTCCGTTCTTGCTTTCTGATTGGCTAACTGTCCGTTCTTGCTTTCTGATTGGCTACCTGTCCGTTCTTGCTTTCTGATTGGCTACCTATCCGTTCTTGCTTTCTGATTGGCTACCTGTCGTTCTTGCTTTCTGATTGGCTACTTGTCACATTCAACAGGCTGCTCCCAGACAGGGAAAACCCTATGCTAATAAAAAGGTTGGGGACCACTGTGCTAAAGGGTTAAATGCATCACAAAGACTCTTCTTGTTTTATGACCAGGACTGGAGTAAGCATGAGTGACATGGAGGCGGCTCACCCTTCCCCGCTCCATCTCCTTGGTGGTCATGACAATGACGTGAGCGTTCTCCTGAAACACCATCTTCCAGAAGTCGTTCACTGTGCTCTGCAGGCAGCCCTGGGTGGCAATGAAGACTTTACTCCCCTCCACATGCCGCCCGTCTTCACTCACGTTCTGCATGGTTGGACAACAGGAACAATTACACACGAACCATTTTAACCACTGAGTGAAAATGAATTATGTAATATTAAATGTCTAGAAATATATTTAACATCCAAAACGTGGAAAGGAAATCCTTCCTGATCACACACACTCACTCTGATATAGTTGGCGTTGATGTAATCCAAACCCGGAGCGTCTGATTCAGAATCTTTAATTACAACTCGCGTTGTGTCGACTGTAAACACAAAGTTCAACCAATTAATGCATAAAGGAACAGTCAGTTCTGAACCACGCAGACATAATGCAGCTGATAGGCTCAGGCTATTAAAACACCATCTCTATGCTCTGTCGTCTGTCACTCTTTCCACAGGAAGTTGGAGAGACAGGAAACGGCAGGCTGCTGTGCGACTCACAGGGGAGGATGTTCTTGTATCTGTTTTTACTCTTGTTTTCTGGTTTCTGGCCCTCTTTCCGGGGATACAGCAGTTTGCACTCTTGCTGCTGAAGTACCTTTAAAAGAGATGGAGAGAGGAACAAAAGAACAACATGAGACAGACAACTTGGGAATTCCAATGGGCTATCGCCACAGAAAACAGTGTCAGAAAGAGTAGAGCAAAAAACAATACTAACATTTCCAAAGACATTTATGTAACTGAATAATGCTGGGTGTAAAACATTGTAATGAACTTTTATTACAGCAGAGGTCACCATGGGGAGAAGTCAGAGAGAAACATCTAAAGACTCAGGGTGTGTGATAACATTCATTTTAACACAGATTCCCATCCACACTGGGTAATACATTCATTTCATCACAAAAATATTTCAAACAAAAAGTAGTAAACATAATACTTTCCCAATATGAAAGAAACTGGGTTGCTTTATTTATTCAGACTTTCTTGAACTGCTTATAAAAAATAATTTCCCCCTCATTTCAATGGTAGTTATTTGGATAATTAGCGCTATAATAGAAATGGCAGTACACCAATCAACTTTTTTTTCTTTGTAAAAAGTTGATTTAGAGTTCTATCTTTATGTTTGGTATTTTTATGACAATTTGTTTGGTTTTGCTTCTACAGGGCATTAGTTTCACTTTAACATGATATTATGATGAGACTGGAATATGAATGGCTGTGATGCACGCACCTCAAACTCCTCCCAGAATCCTTGTTTTGGCTTCTCTGAGTTGTCTGCTACTTTATTGAGTTCTCGTACCCGGTTCTCAATGTTGGCAGCGTTTATCCTCGTGGTGTTAAAAGGCTGACATAGTCACACAAAAACACAAAACATTTAAACTACAAACCACATGATGAGCTATAAAACAATCACCAGAGAATGTTCTTAGTTCTACATTTTTCTAAATGTGTCTTTATCACCTGTTTGAGATGAACTACAATGCCACTTTTTTCCACCATGGGGTTCTTCTTGTAGTGATCCACCAGATCGGCCAACGTGTCAAACCGTTCACCACCTCCCACGTCATACTTGCCTTCCTGCAGAACAAAAATGTTTACAAATTAAAAAGGAACTATAACTGCAAGCAGTTATCAACGGGTTCCAAGCCCCAACAATGATCAAACCAACCAATCAAAATTCTTCTTAAAGGCATGATATGCGTCCAAAAGAACAATCTCACCTGCAAGCGAATCATAACGTGTGTGACTTTGGTTTTGCGGTCGACGTTGTCGTGTTTCTCCTCGTTGGTGAGAACTGATAGGACAAAGTCTCCGGGCTTACTCTGACTCTCCCGGACCAGAAAGCTGCCAGCTTTGCCTTTTTCTGTGAGGAGCTTCTCTGCATCTCTCCCAGAGAGGTGACCATGGTACCACCTGGAGATGGAAAACAAGCGTCTTCCTGAACCACTTGTTTTCAAGAAGGGACAATCAATATTTAAAACACCCAGGATAAGAGATTACTGTCCGGGACAAAGTACATACTGCAATCCATATGTCTGTCAAGTTTTTGTTTCGCTGTTAAATCATAACTGCAACAATTTGCTTGGTTTTACAGCTGTAAAACTCTGTTGCGATTGCTTTGGTAAATATTGACGCTCTATGAATTTTTATAGATCAGGGGTGCTCAATACGGGAAGGTTTTGAGTCAATCTCTGCAGTAGGTAGCGAACTGAACGCCTCTTCTGATGAGTGCGTCAGAAGAGGAGCAGCACGTCCTCTTCTGACGCACTTATCAAAAATATTCACTAACATCCAAAACGTTTGTATTGAAGAATAAAAAAAAATCAACAAAATGTGTTCAAATTAATCACCCAACAAAAATAATAATCTCAGTAATTATTGTTTCAACTGGATGTTGCGCAATTCTGTGCATTTCGGTTCCACAACAAAAATAAGAAAAGGGTTAGGGCGACTAAAACACCGACTTTCTGAGCAGAGCAAGAGTTTAAAACGAGCTCATCACTCACCGCTGAGCGCTTATTAATAATCGCAAAATAAATATAAAGCCTGAAAACCTAATATCATAACGGACTGAATATTTTGTTTATAATGCAATCTCTGCTTGGCTTCTGGAGCCAAGCAGAGATTGCCATGGACTCGCGTGTGCTTAAACAACAGAGAGAGACGGAGAGTAAAGAGGTACTAGTGGTTTTGAATTGATCACCTGTTCGGGTTATTTGACCTTTTCTGTGGTTCATCACAGCTGCTGTAATTTCTGAACGTTCAATAAACGACAAACTTGGACCTCATTCGTTTGCAAGTATACATAATTCACAACAAACATCAAATACGGTTAATATGTTTCATTGAGTACTTAAACAGATGGCTTCTACCTCGATAATTATGTGAAATTAAATTAATTGTCTCATATTTTTTTAAAAATGTTGTGTGTTCTCTGGCATCTTGCTTTGAGCTCAGAGTCGGAGAGGCTTTTCCTCTATCAAACATGCTATTTATCTCCGTCTCTTATTTAGGGGAAATATTGATGTTTATGAGATTTTCTCTAAAATGATAACCTTTTTCAACCTGCACAGCTCCACTGTTGAAAATGAGAAGGTAACATTCACAAATGACATTGAAATAAAATCCAGTCCAACATCTGGTTTGAGGTGATTCCATGAGAACCTGTTGGAGGAAAAATATCCCAACTTCACAAGATGTGCTTTTAACTTAACATTTCTCTTTGGTTCCTCCTATCAGTCTGAACTGCTGGCCTCAGGTTTGCAAGCAGCTTCTGACAGAGAAACCAGTAACCTGCTCCCAGTGTCAGAATCTCACTGAGGAAGAAAGCGCATTATAATATGTCTACTACAACTGATGTATATTCACATAGGTCAATAGAGTTTCAATTACAATTTTTGTATCTTAGTGTCATGAGGTAGATCTCAGCTGAGTGGAGAGAGAAAAAGTAGATCTTGTGCTCAAAAAATCTGGGAGCCCCTATTACAGTTAAACACACATGCAGGATTGGACTCTACTCACTAAAATCTATGATGTTGTCCAAACTTTTTGCCAAAATCGTTCAGCTAAAATAAGGCTGGACAATAAATCAATAATATATGTCGCAATTGATACGTAATTCATACCAATAGATGACACGTCTGATAGAATAATCAATACATAGAATATTCTGCACAGAATTGTGGGAGTTTGTAAATGGCAAATGCCTTTGTACTTGTATAAAGCACTTCACAGTCACTCACACGCGCGCACATACACACAGACGCACGCACCACGATGGTGGCAAGCTACTGGATAGTAGCCACATCTGCCCTCGGTGGTCTGACAGAGGTTGCAATGCACCAGTGTCACTGTGACCTCTGACCCCACCAGCAGGTGGGGTCAGAGGTGTCTTGCTCAAGGACACAAGAACACGACAGGACACCCCTGATTTATAATTTGCAGCCACACGCTTATTAAATATGGGCACCTGAGTTTCAACCTTTTCAAGTGGACATATTGTTATGTTAGTTTCTTTCTTTTAGCAGACTCAAGCTAAAGTTCCAAATAAAAGATTAATCACTGACAGCAGACAGAAATACCAACACAGTATTTCTCCTTCACACGCCTTTATTCACCTGCTGCTTCTGTACCCAAGACTGCTCAGATACACGCTTTGTGTCTGAGCATCTCAGGGTGGATGTGAGTGCAAGGTAGATAAATCAACAAAACGGATATTTGAGACTAAGTTTTCCCTCAGAGGGGGCAGACTGAAATACGTTTCCTGTAACTCACACCTTCAACATAATTGAAATGTGTTGAAGGTGTGATAAGAGACACTATCACTCCAGAGTGATAGTGTCTCTTATATGGCTGCAGGCTCACTTCACCTGATTTTCAGATTAAATACTCGCATGTCGGCATGTTGTTTCCTGTGTGATGATGAGCCAGAACGTAAAGGAAGCGGCATCAAGAAAAGCACCCAGAATGGAAAAACCACATGAATCGTAAACCAGAAGCAGCTCTTACACTCTTACACTTAGATTAAGAGACACGCAGTGCAGAGCAGATGTGCAGAAATAAAAAAAACATTTGCATCCATTTTTTTAGGAGAACCATGTCTGCATTCAGAACAGAAATATTCTCTGAAGTACGTAATTGTGTGTATATTTGCAAAAGCATAGACGTCAAGCAGTGAGTTAATCCAAACATGCCTTTGGGAATACATAGTAATTTAACTTTGTGGATTCTGTGTGCATATAAATTTCCTGAGTGGGAGTGTTTATTCAGAGTGTCCTCTCTTCAATCTGTGTAAACATGTAGGTGCGCTGCTATATAATTAACGTGTTAATGTGAATTTCTAACCTAATGCCAGTCTAACACTTTGCTAAGTGATGCAGCAGCAGGACAATAATTCGATATTATGGCTTGTTCTGATGGCTCTGAGTGGATCAGCAGTAACATCAAGCTGGGGAGGTTTCCAGGACCGCTGCTTTGCCTCATCCTCCCCTCTAGGCAGACCATAGAGCCAGTTTACTCGTCTATCTACATTAGGAAAGGCCGATGTACAAATGAACTGACTTGAAGTGGCATCATGTTTATATGATGAGAAAGTTGTGATACATCATTTGTCCTGTTCAAAGGTCATAAATTCAGCCTAATGTAATAATGTAATGTAATGTGCGCCTGGAAGGTGAAGTGAGAGTGAACGTTTTAAAGTGGGCTTTTAAAAATCATTGCCTTGTTTTATGCTTTGCTTCGTTTAGAGCAGAGATCTCCAAGCTTTATGTAACAGGGGTCAAAAATGACTTATGGACCAATGGAATTAGATTTTTAAATAAAAAGTCATACTTTGATATTTTTTCCACTTAAACATTTAATTAAACAAATACGTTAGATTAGTTTTGTTGAAAAGAGATAGGTTATCTATCTACTTAAAGGGGCAGTATTATGTGTTTTCCAGGCACATAGTGCCATTTTATAGCACAATCAATTAACTATGTTAAATCCAGTTAAATATGACTTAAAGGTAATTTTCCATTGTAATTTAACATTTTGAAATTGGGCTTCTGTCTCTTAAAGAAGCTCCGCCTCCAGGAAGTCATCCCATGGTTGCTGTAGTAACCCTTTAACAACGTTTTTACCAGCAGCTCTGAGCAGTAGCTCCTGCCAGCATTGTGGTCCAGACCATCTAACCCAAGACCAAGACCAGAGTGTATCGAGACCGAGTCAAGACCAGCGCCCTGTGCTACATGATACAATGAAATGTGAAATATAATCAAAATTGGTAATCAAATTGATCTGAAAGATTTGCATCCCCATAAAAACATCTAGATATGAAACACTTTGAGCTGAAATAAATGTAACCAATATTAAAGAAACTCTTATTCTGCTTATCTAAAAAGATAACGCCCTGGGCATTTGCCCATGTCATTCATGTCAGAAATCACCACTGTCTGCACCATTTAACATAGCAATTGACGCAATGCCCTGACAGTAAACGACGCTCCACTATGAACACTGACCAAAGAGCTAAAAGCAAGAAGTAAACCAAGCACAAGGTGCTCACCATGACTGTTCTCACCCTGTCCCACTGCAAGAATCCTGGCAGCACAATGCTGTAATATCTGCCATCATGGCAGACATGATAGCTGCCACTTTGAACGAAAACAAGCAATGAGCAATGCACACTGAATGTGCATGCTCTTTCATTCCTGTGTTGTATTTATTTGCTAATCAAATAAATATCAATGTGGATACTTGAATAAAATGATATACTGCAGTGTAAGCAGAGCATCACAAGAACAAAGAAGGGCTCTCAGTGAAGCTCCAGTCCTTCTTCTTAGTAAAGACAAGTTCAGAAGACGTGTATGGTTTATGAATGTCTCATCACTACTGGCAGACTTTTTGGACACAGTGTTGTCCCATATGCGACACGTTAGTCAACACCTCCACACAATAATTCAGCGCAGAGTGACTTTTTTTCATCACGTCTCTGTATAACTAGCTTTGCTAACATCACGTCAGCGGAGTTCACCTTTCTTTGAGCTTCTTTTTCTAAGTAATTTCTAAGTATTTTCACATTTGCGGGCTTGACTGGTCTTGAAATAAAATCCCGAGTCCTCAACGCCCGAGACCGACTGCGTTCGAGACTGAGATCATCAAAAATGGTCGTGAGACCAAGACCGGTCTCCAGTACTACAACACTGACTCCTACAATGAGCTCAGCGGTTCTACCAGCTGTTTGCTCATTTCTGCTGGCTAGTCTGAAGGAGCTGGATGGGAAGAGCTGTTCTGTGAGGCTGAAGCTGAGAAACTGAGGAGGACCTGTGCTTTCAGTCCACCCAGCCGTTTTCCACAGCTGAATGGTTCCCATTCTCAAACATGCATGAAAGAATCAAAGCAACATGTTTGTTTTTGATGAGAGAATAACATTACGACATTATGTAAAAAGTCAATTTTTCAGGGTTTAGGTTTGGCTTATTAAAATAGATGTGTCAGGCTCCTGTCTACCCATGTGTCATGTTTGTACAGTAATAAGTTTATTGAAATCTCTTTTCATTGTGTTTTCAGGAGTTTGTTTTTTGTCCCATATTTGTCTGACATTAAGGGGAGCAGCAGTTGTCTTTTTTTAATTGAAACCTCTGGTTTACAGACTGCAAACTGGAATTGGGGTGAGCTCCCTGGATATTGAGAGGACTTTGTTCTGTACATATCAGGAGTTTCTATGTTTTCTTTGTTCCAGTTTATGTTACCAGCAGGAGCCACTGCTCCTGCAGCACGCTCTGCAGCTGCAAGCTCACCTTCTCACAGTATCCTCTGAAAATGTTTGGATGATCTGTGAAAGCTCCTGATTTCACTCTGTGATTATTTTTCTGAACAGAACAAGAACATTGAGTTTTATGCTGCTCTGATCAGAGTTTTCTTCATAACTATTTCAAACTGATTGGATTTGAAGGTTCTCCAGTGATACAAGTTGCTTCATGTTAGAAATCAAGTGGATTTGTCCTGACGCTGTTCTCATGCCATCTGGATAGTGATGTTTACCTCTCAGAGGTGGGGTCCTTGCAGTTGAGTGGATACTTCAGCTCGATGACGTGGCCGTTCCTCTCACGCAGCAGGTCCTGCTGTTCGGTGTAATACTGCACCAGCTCGGCTAGCGTGGCAAACTTCTCACCGCCGTACAGGTCATAGTAGTCCCCAGAGTTCTGGATCTTAATGTGGGTCACCTCATTGTTTCGCCTGAGTAAAAAAGTCAACTTATTATTTTCACAGAAGAGCAACGAATTTGATCAAAACAAGCTTTTTTTTTTCTTCCTGTTGACATTTTCTCAGGTTCCCTGCAGAAATGTAAAAATAAAGACCTGAACAGACACAAACAGCCACCCACGCACCTGCCCATGCAGTATAGAGCTCACACAAAGACATCCAGACTTCGCCCACACAAGCTCAGCAAAAACACACATAAACACGTCCAATTTATCAAGCCATCTGCTGCCTTCCTGCCTTACTCCCAGCAATCCTCCTTCAAGAACATGCAGATCATGTCAAGTCACTTCAAACTGTTACATAATCCACCTATTGTCTGTATTTAAGGATCTGCTTTTATTTTGACATTAAAGGAAATACACAAAAATGATAAATTAGCTGCAATCTAAGATGAGAAATCTTAGCTTTAATATGAAATGGAAGAAAATTATACATATAAAGACAATAATATATGAAGTGTTTTGTGCATTTGTTTTCAGACTCTTTTACCCTAATGTCCCAAAATAAAACAACCAGTCATCCAATAAATAAAAGTCTTCTTGTTTGTAATTTAATGAGAATAATCCTATAAAGACCGATTTACCCAGAAGTGAAAGATAAACTCTGGAGGAGCTGGAGATTTCTAGAGATGGTGGAAAAATTTGCTACCAAGACGACTAATCGTCCATTAATTATCCTCCACTGTGGTATAAGTGTCTAATAAGACACTATGTTTTTAAGAAATTGATCTTAAAATCTCATGTCCAAGCAGCAGTCTGCAGCACATTAACCCATCTATAACTCAGTGACTGCCTGGTGATATTTAAGCAAACAGCTGAAAGTCAGCTCATGTTATTCCCCTGCTAATCTGACCTTTATTAATGTTGAAGTTTAGGGGTTTATCTCAGATTAGGCAGATAAATCACAAAGCTAACAGGAGTTTAAAGCTTGGCAACATTTGGATTGGTTGCTTCAGCCTCTGGTGAAGGTGGTTATTTGCTTTGATGTAGCTATTCAGGACTGAGATGGTTCCAGTTTTGTGATGCCAGTGTGTTTGGAATGGTGAAAACAAAAGAAAATAGCACCAGGTTTAACTCTGAAACTAGCTTGGTGGAAAGGTTTTTAATCTGTTAAGAGAGCCAAAGCTTTGCCAAGTTAAAGAAACGAGTCGACCAAGATCCCTATGGAAATGTGTAAACCTGGCTTTCAAATATATGCAAAGCATTTTTCTGATAACTGACTAATTATTTCTCTCTACATTAAAATATAACTACCTTGAAAATGAGCTTATTATGTGAGCAATCTCATATAGAATTAGCAAATGTAAACAGGAGAAGAACACTTGAATTCAGTGTGTGGTAGGGTAATTCAATAGATTACACTGAATGTTCAGTGTGTAATCTATTGAATCCATATCAAGACATTTATTAGTTAGTAGTACAGAACAATGTTGGCACACCCTTAAAAAGTTCAAAATTAATGTATCTAAAATTAAGGTCTTACAAATTACATTTATTGTAAAAATGAAATTATCCTTCAATATTTTAATAAGAGAGCTTAGATTTGTGTTCTTTTCTCGCTGGCTTTTCTGTCAGAATCAAGTTTGAATCTTTGTGACATTTTCATTGATTGACTTGACATGGTGGAGGCTAGCTATACCTCACTGCTAATATACTGTTGCTAGCTAGCTATACCTCACTGCTAATATACTGTTGCTAGCTAGCTATACCTCACTGCTAATATACTGTTGCTAGCTAGCTATACCTCACTGCTAATATACTGTTGCTAGCTAGCTATACCTCACTGCTAATATACTGTTGCTAGCTAGCTATACCTCACTGCTAATATACTGTTGCTAGCTAGCTATACCTCACTGCTAATATACTGTTGCTAGCTAGCTATACCTCACTGCTAATATACTGTTGCTAGCTAGCTATACCTCACTGCTAATATACTGTTGCTAGCTAGCTATACCTCACTGCTAATATACTGTTGATAGCTAGCTATACCTCACTGCTAATATACTGTTGCTAGCTAGCTATTCCTCACTGCTAATATACTGTTGATAGCTAGCTATACCTCACTGCTAATATACTGTTGCTAGCTAGCTATACCTCACTGCTAATATACTGTTGCTAGCTAGCTATACCTCACTGCTAATATACTGTTGCTAGCTAGCTATACCTCACTGCTAATATACTGTTGCTAGCTAGCTATACCTCACTTAGCAGTGAGGTATATATACTGTTGCTAGCTAGCTAGTTTTTTTCCATCATGGGTGAGTACACGTTAATCATCAGTTGGTTGAACAAAGTTCTCATATTTCCTAAATTATGGTCATAATGGTCTTAAAAAGTTATTGGTGCTCTCCACTAATCTGGTCTGTCTAGAAGAGAGGCCATCAAAAATGAATTTCTTAACAAAATCATAAAAAGTTGAACGTGTTTTGCCACAAACCCATGTAAGGACAGATGGCAAATAAAATGCTTCCTTTGGCCAGATTAGACCAAAGGGGAACTTTTTCAGTTCTATTTCTGGAGCAAACAAACACTTCTCATCACCTTGAACACGTCACTCCACTGTGATAAAACGGCAGTGGCAGGATTATGCTGTGGGGATGACAATCAGAAAGGAAAGAGAAGCTGGTCAACAATAAAATGGTTCACAATGAAGCAAGGTGAATCCAAAAGCACTGAATATTTGGCTTTCCACTTCACAGTTAGTTTGGCTGGATCTGTTTCTCAAAATGTCATTAAAGTCAGTTAAAGTTTGAAGCTGCAGCAAGACAAAATGTGAAGAAAAGGTCAGGGGTAGGAATACTTTGACAAGACAATTTTTAAAAATAACGTAAAAATCTGATCAGAGCGATCTTGTCATTTCCTTCATTATAATGTTAATATATGGTGGCTTGGACTTCAAGTTTTTCACAGTATTGTGTTTCTATTGTGATAACATTAAAAGTGACAATAAGAACTATTGATTGGTTCTTTTTTCAAGCACACAACATTCCCATCAGTAGTGAGCTCCTTCAGGCCACTAGGCACAAAGAAATGACCGATTATTGATTCTCTGGTTACATAAACAGCAGAGAAAACAGTAAAAATAATAACCCTGAAAATACATACTGCTTAGTTTTCATTTTTAAATAACATTATATGGAATTCATCATGGCAACGATAAATCAAAATCCTTGTGACGGTTAGAAAATGATCACGATAAATGATGAATATTCCAATATTTTGATTCTTCTGGACCAGTAAAGATTCTTCCTAACTCAAACCAAATTGATGCCACGCAAGTTTTAAATTGCAATAAATGGAGTGAATGGAAATCTAATAGGATGTGTTTTTCTCATTTCCAGAGTTAATGGAGTTAAACTTCATAGGGAAAAGGGGGGTCTGACCTCAGAGCTGAGGAAGGGCCTTTAACTGGGCCACGTACCTGTGGAAACTTGCTAGCAGCCGCTAATAAAGCCATAAAGCAATTACCAGGAAACACAAGCAGAGACGGATGGGGAGTGAGGAAGAGATGGAATATGGGACAAATAAAAAAGAGAATGGATGAGAGCAGTGATTGTGAGAGAAAAAGCAAATTATGAGGGCTGCAGGAGAACTGATGGAGGAAAATAGGATTTGTGCCATTTGATATCACCATTAGCCGATGAAGAGTTGGATCAGATAGCACAGATTGCCCTTCTCCACTCTGAGTCTGATTTATGCTTGTGTTTTCTGTGTCGTCATCCCAAATATGTTATTTCCCAGTGAAACATGGAAGCAAAAGATTCTAAAAATTAGGGAAAAATCTTCTACAGATAACTAAAGATAAAAAGTAACTGCAAATAAATTTCCCTGCAGAAATTTTCAGAAGTATTTCTTTGGAGCTTTTTCACATTTTTGTAACACAAACACATCTCAGTGTTCTTTATTATTTTTTGTAACAGACCAACACAAAGTAGTCCATCAATGTTCCAATTAAAAGAAACATTTGAAATTCAGGGAGGCTTTCAAATTTCTTGCAAATAGAAACAAGAAAACTGGTTTGCATTTGTGTCAAATCCACTGACTGAATACTTTGTAGAACTTTCTTTGCTGCACGATTTCTGCACAAAACATCTATTAGTCTAACATATCTATTGAACAATTTCCTTCCATTTCATATTAGATTGCACCTAATTTGTCTGCTTAAGAAAACATATCAGTGTATAGGGGTTAGGGGTTAGGGTTACGAGAGATTCTAATATGACATCTTGATCATGGTTATCTCAGTCTTCTTATTAGAACGTTACACAACCAACCTGAGAAATTCTTCATCTTTTCAGTAGAAAACTAAATTATATTTCACTCAGCAGCATTCATTTATATCAGCCATTTGTTTGGGACTTTTGGTTGATATTCAGTTTCTTTTCAGTAAAATGAACCCTACATGAAGATTAAACACTGTTGATTTCTTTGAAAGAAAACTAAAATAATCAGCAGCATTTTTTGTACATTCTCCCTCATATTTATCTAATTAACCTATGACTCAGTCTTTTGATAATATTAGCCGTTTATTTTTTGACACAAGTTACTGTAACACCAACATTTACCTCAAAGACCTCACATTTAATACCACAATGTTTTTACTACACTTGACTGAAGCAAAATGAGATTTGAATTTAGGATTCAGATATCATTTCTTTCTGTTTACAGAATCAAAGGAAGAAACATGATCAATGCAGGAAGTTATTTGTTGGGCATAAATAGTTATGATACAGTCCTTGCATACGTCATTGTCCTACTGATGAGGAAATGAGATTAAAGACTTCCCAAGCTGGTTTATGACTTCCTGTTACTTCCAACGTCTGATAAAAGGTTTCCACTTGCTTCTTCTAGGTTAAAACCTAGAAGAAGCAAGTGGAACTGACCAATTATTTAAAGCTAACATCATACAAACATGTCAGCCTTCCATAAGTCTTCATTATCATTGCATTTTTAGTGCACAGTGATTTATTGTAG